GTACTGATTAGGGGAGAGTAGGTAAAGTTTTGAGTATAAATACTGTGAGAAGAAGAGATAATGTGTTTGGAAGGAGTGGAGGCAAAGGTTTTGAGTATCAAATTGGAATTGAGGAGCAGAATTGGACAACGGTTTAATTTTAGCGGATTCTAATCTTCGTAAAAGATCTTGTACTTCAAAACTATGTTTATCACAAAAAGTAAAAATATCATTTTGTAATGTTGTAATTTTACTTAAAATAAATGCATGATAAGACATTGATTGAGCAATTTCATCTCTAAGTTCACCAACAACTTTCATTGAATTATAAATTTTATCAATATTTGTGTTTAATTCAATTGCTTTTGAACCTAAAATTATTTGAATTTCAGATTTATTTTTATCAATACTTTTTAATAATGTTTGTTGATTATCAAATGATTGTTGCATTTGTGAAGTTAATTCAACTAATTTTTTGGTATACTTTTCTACTACTCCAGCTTGATTATCACTTGAATTTAATTCATCAATTAATTCTGATTCTTGAATCATTGCATTATTTAAAATTAATTGAAGTAATTCTTCTCTATCATTAATAATATTTTTCCATTCACTTTTTTCTTCTTCTAATTTTTTAATAATTGGTAAAATTTTTAATTTTTCTTCTTTAGTTGGGAAGAATTTAATTAATTCATTAATTCCTTGTTCAAATAAACTAAGCATTTCATCATTTAACTTCATTTTAGTTATTGAATCAATATCATTTCTTTTACTTATGGTTATAAAATTATCAATTTCTCTAATTCTATTAATTTTATCTTGTTGATTACTAACAAGTGGAATATTCCAATAATTTCGATATTTAATAAGTCCATCTTGATCTTTTAATGCTTCATCATCAAATCTTTGTCTTATTTCTTTAATCATATTATCATTCTTTTCAGTTGTTTGTTTAATAGTATTAAGACTTTCTTTTAATTTACTGTACTGTTTTGTTTCACTAAATTCTTTAATAAATTTTTCAATATCTGATGGAATTATATCTGGGCTCTTTATTACTTGAATTAATTCATTTAATTTTATTCGAGCTAAATAATCATTTCCTGTTTTTGTAGCTGCTGGAGAAATTTTTTTTGTATCATCAATAACTTGTTTTGCTTTTATAATATAATTATTAAACGAAGTTCTAATTTTTAATGATAATAATTCTTTAAATGGATTATTTTCTATTGGAGGAATAGGATTTGTTTTGGCTAATATTGTAGCTTCTGGATATTCTAATTCATTTGGCTCTGGTATATTTTGGAAATAAATTTCATTATTATCTTTTTCATATTGAACCAAATCAGCTTTTAATGACTTAATAATATTATCACAACTTCCTTTATATTCTTTTGGTAATTCTTTTAAATGAGAAATTGATTCAAGGTCATTAATAACAATCATTGTTCGTGCAATTTGTTCTCCATATTTTAATTCTTCCTTTGCATTATATGAAGAAATTTGTAATTGAACTTCAGATACAACAATTCTTAAAAACATACAAATAACAGCATAAATTGGTCTTGAAAATAATTCTTTACTAATTTTTAGTGATTCATGTATTGACAATGAAAGACGATAAACCCCAGCACCAAGTTTTAATTGAGTAGCTTCGGTTTTATTTTCTTGTTTAGATTTTTGATAGAAAAGATATTGAATAGAAAGAATACAAAATTGATTAAGTGTTTTTAATACATCAGGATGAATATCAGTTAATCAATT